GGGGTCCCAGCGTGTGTGTTCCCCCCCTTTTTTTCTGCCCGCAGCCCCCTCGGCGCCGGGCGGCATGCTCTCCCTCGTCTTCCTCTGCGCCCGCCGGCTGGGGGGCCACCGCCCCGCCGCCCGCCGCGCCCTCGACCTTCTCCCCGCCGAACTCTACCCCGTCCTCTTCCAAGCCGCTTTCCTGGACGGACGGACGTTAACGCTGCGGGACATCGTAGGGACGTGGCCCTTCCCCGTCCTCAGCTTCCAGCGGTTGTTGGGACACCGCGACCGTCACCCGCTCCTCGGGGAGAAACCCAGTAAATTGGGTGTCCAGGCCGTCATCCTTGCCGTCGTGGCCCATCTCCGCCGGGCGCTGGAGGAGTCCGGCAGCGGCACGAGGTGGGTGCCGGGATGCCGAAGTTCCCTCGGGATGGGCGGGAGCCGTTTCCTTTCTCCGTGGGGAGGTGGAGGTGACGGTGCTCATCCCGGGGCCGTCAGCTCCGGCCGCGGCGGCGGAGGAAGCCGAGGGGTTTTGCCGGGCTCGTTTACCGCATCGGCAACACGGGAGGAAAGTGAGACGGCGACCGTCGCCCCGCCGCGGGGCTGGAGCGCGTCACCGGCAGCCGGTTATTTCCATTCCGCCATTTCTCCCCTCGTTTCTTCACCGATTTCTTCTCTTTGCCAGCGAAAGACGGTGCCGCCTGCGGCTGCTGGACATGACGGGGCTCCAGGATGCCGACGCCGACCGCGGTCCGGAGGGGATGAGCCTGTGGTCCGGCACGGTGGCATTGGCCAAAGCTTGCGTTGAGGTCTCCAAACACCGCAACGAGTGCCTGAAACGCGGTTCCAAACGCCGTAAAGGTCCCTCCGGCGCCTCGGCGGCCCCGCAGCCCCTCGGCGTGGAGATCCGCGCCGATCTCTTCGTCAACGGCACCTCCTTCGGCATCCTGCGCGACGCTCTGCAAACCGGCGCCGCCGGCCCCCTGCGCCTCAAATGCCGGGATTTCCACGCCGAGGAGCTCTCCGTTGCCGGCACCGTCGGTTTGCTGGAATCGTTGGAACCTTCCGGCGTGCGGCGGGTGGATCTACGCTTCAACAACCTGGGGCTGGCCGGTCTCTGCGCCGTTTTACCGCACCTCGCCAGATTTCCCGATCTCCTCAGCCTCAAGCTGCCTTACAGCAACGTCGACGTGCGGCGGCTGGCGGCGGGGACGGACGCCGGCCCCCGGTGCCTCGCCGCGCAGCTGGGGAGGCTGCCCTGCCTCAAGGAGCTCAACATGGGATCCTCCAGGCTTTCGGGGAAGCTGAGGCAACTCCTCGGGTAAGTTCCCGGCGAAGTGGATCCCCGATTTGGTTTTCTTTTCACGCCGCGGCGGGGTGGAGTTCATGGGTCCCAGCTGGCGCGGTTCCTCCGGGAATACGGGAATCGTCCCCGCGGGTTTGGCCGGCGGCGGCTCCCTCCTGGCTTGCAGCCGGCGCAGCGCCGGCCTCGGGGGGGGCTCACCGCTCGGTTTTCCCACCCCGGCAGCGACCTGCAGGCTCCCCTGGCAAGCCTGGAGCTGGCCTTCTGCTACCTCCTTCCCGGCGACCTCGCTTTCCTTTCCCAAAGCCTCCACGCTCCGGCGCTGAGGAAGCTGGATCTGAGCGGCCACGATTTCTCCGAAAATCTCCTCCAATCTCTCCGGCGTCTCCTGGAGGAGGCTTCGGCTTCCCTCCTCCACCTGGATCTGATGGAATGCCGGCTGACGGACGCCCGGTTGGAGGCTCTGCTGCCGGCGCTCTGCCGCTGCTCCCGCCTCCCTTGCCCGGGGCTTTTCGGCAATCCCCTTTTCCCG